ATAAGAGAATAAACAGCAAGTTAAGGAGATGGAAACACACTAGTGAAAGATATTGACAGAAAAAATAAGAGGATACAAGTAAGAATGAGCTCTGGATTCCCAGCATCTGGGTGTTTTTGAGAACTTGAAGGAGAAAAGGGAGAATACTAACATGAGAGAGAGAGAAACAACTGAATAGGAAGGCAAATCCTCAAGCAGAGTTATTCCAGGGCCTAGGTCTGGAGCTGAAAGATACATCAACGTGCCTGGCCCACCTCCCAGATAACACATGTTAAGGTATAAAATTACATCAGATCCATTTTTGATTCTTTTGAGATAAGAGAAAAAATGACCCCTGTACATGGGGAGAAAGATATGGTGGGGGAAACACCTCTTGGCCAGTTTTATATTATAGCTGACTTCTTTTTGATTCCATTTACCCCCAAATCATGACCATCAACACTCTCTGTTATGTCCCTGCTTTTTACCGTCTCCTCATTCATAGGCACTAAGGTACAAACAACTCTCAGAAACTGCACAGGGAGTTGAGGGTAAAAGACAGAAAGGACAAGAGGGAGACTTTCCCTAGCATTTCCCTAAGACCCAGCAGATGGTGCTATAGGAACAGTGCCTTCCAGACAAGAGTGAAAATGTGACTGAACAGAGGTGGGAAGAAAGCTTCACTGTTTATCCTCACCAATCTTATTTGTTTGTTGGTTGGTTTTTTTTTAAGTCAAAATTAGATTCCTTAAGAATTGTCCCCCAAACCCTTCCAAGACAGGAATAGTCCCCCATTCCCTGGCTATGCTTAGGAAGAAACAGATTTGAGTTTGAATCTTTTTCTCCACTTAATAACTGACTTGAAACAAGTTTTGTATTTTCTCTGAGCCTTGGTTTTTCATCTGCAAAATAGAGGTAATAATTCCTACATCATATGGTTGTTGTGAGGATTAACAGAATGATGTACAGAAGGGCACAGAGCACTGTGCTTGGCATAAAGGGGAACGTAATTTCCTTTCTTCTGCCAACACATAAGGCACTGAAAATCCTAGAACATGTCACATACCTTAAGAAATCTCTTCTCCTGAACCCTGTCGCCTTCAAGGGGAAAAACCACTAACTAAACTAATGGCGGAAGGTGGGGGGTGCAGACTTCATGCCCACTCTGTTAATGTGGGGCACGTACTCTGGTAAAATCATGAATCTCAGTTTGAGAAAAGACTTCTCTGATAATCTAGTCTGACTCTTACATTAATAATTCTCAAAGGGGAGACAAGAGGCCAAAAGGCACATTCAACATGCCTGTTGTTTTCATGACACAAACCGAGAAACAAAGCTCATCAAACTCTGATTGTTGATTTTGCAGGATAATCAGAAAATAAAGCACTGAAAGGATTAAAACTGCTTACACGATACATGAAAGTTCCTTTAATGCCCCTGACGATAAATACAATTACTTTGCAAAGACCTCATTGCATTTTCAGCCAACAGAGATATTACAAGTTTCTTCGTTACATCAAGTCAAAATTTACCTCCCTTTCATGGTCGCTTGTTCCCTTTCCTACCACCTCACATACACCAGCGTTCACAGACATGCATGCTTTTCTCTCTCACAAGAATTAGAGCTTCTGATGTCCACACTTCCCAGCCCTTCTCTTCCCTCTAGATTCTCCTCTCCTGTGAATCTTCCTGACAAGCAAATATAGAAGAGGGCCAGCAGGGTGGCAAACTACAGCCCAGAGGCCATATCTAGGGCATCACCAATCTGCTAAAAATGGCCCCTAAGCTAAGAATGCTTTCTACATTTTTAAGGGTTGAAAAAAACTTGTTACATGTGAAATTATGAAATTTAAGGGTCAGGTCGATCAACAGGTTTTATCGAAACACAGTCGTGCTCATTTGTTTACACATCATTTATGGACGCTTTCATGCTGCAAGAGCAGGGTTGAGTAGTTGCAACAAAGCCCATCTGGGCTACAAGCCTATAGTATTTACTACCTGATCCTTTACAGAAATGTTCGCCAACCCCTCCTGTAGGAGAGCACTGGCCCCAAAAACATGTTTTACCCACAACCCTTTCTTCCCTCTGTGGTGACAGCCAGCTCCTGCAGGAAATTAGCCCTCACTCAGCAAATTCCACCCCCACTGCAATCCCACAGTCTCAGTCACACCTCTGATGAAGCATGACAGCCAGGCCCAAATCACGCATCCAGAGGAAACGTGGCCACAGAATGGATACTGACTCTGCAGCCCTCTGAGTAACACTGAGAAGAAAACATGTAGCCTAATAATGGTAAAATTTGGAATCATATAATTTATCATTTCCCCATAGTTGCTACAACCCCTTCCCAAACCCTGATGATCATATTGCACAAGTTGTAAGTCTATGTCACTTCACCCAGCTTCAGTGAGAGTTGTGTTACATATTCACAACAGATGGAGTGTACAGCAAGGTCCTCAGGGACGATTCTTAATATAAGATTCAGTTTATATCCAGGTGAAATCATGTCCTCTGAGCTGAACACGGGAAGAGAAAGGGCAGATCCTAATCCTGTGAAAAAACAGAGGTGGTCAGTGCTGTAGTCATGCACTTACACCCTTACATGACCCTTACTCCTCTTTCATTTCGATTCAATTTGGCAAACGTTTATTGGGGACCTTTATGTGCCATGCAATGTGCTGTGTCTCCAAGTGACATAGGGATTATATAAGGCCTGTTCTCTATTCTAAGGAGCTAATAATCTAGAAGTGACATAGGCACATAGCCAAATACATTTGGGTGTCTGTGTGTGTGTTTGTGTGTGTGTGTGTGTGTGTGTGTAAAGGATATACACCAAACAATTAACAGTAACTATTTCTGGGCAGTAGGATTACATGTACTTTCATTAACTTTTCTCTATCTACATTTTCTAATTTTTTATATTAAATATTAATTACATAGACAATTTTAAAAGACTATAATAGTGTGTGATTGATATTAAAATAAAATTATGAATAGGGACATAATTATAACTCTCTCTCAAGTAATTCAGGAAAGATTTCCTACAGAATATGAAAGGTGAGTTTGAAAAATGAATAGTACGAGTTTGTCAGGAAGATAATGACGAAAAATATTCCAGAAAAATATGTAAAATAGTATGGTATCTTCAGGAAGGTTTATGAAGTTAATTACCAGTGGAGCACAAAGAAGGATAGGGAGTGAGGAGATGTGGCTGTAGAGAGGCCACAGCACAGATCATGAGGAACCTTGGATACCATGCTAAAGAGCATGGATTTCTTCCCAATGTTAGATAGTGGTTGAGTGAAAGCAACATTGATGAATGGTCACTAAGGTCTCATAAATAGACTTAGGTAAAGAAACAAGAGGACCTCTGCAGCCATTATCCGTTCCAAGAGGCAATAATATCATGAGTGACACCTTGGCTGGAGTCCTGTATAGGAAAATTAAGTTTAAAAAAGAGAGTTTGACTAGATGATCTTCACGGCTCCTAAACATCAGATTCCATGATTCATTGACATCTGGTCCGTGATGTCCCTGCACACACTCCATTCAACTTCAATTAAAATCCACATAATTTGTTATCAATGCATTATGCTAGACACCTTGTTGAACAGCACAGAGGTCTTTCATTGCAGTGTCCAGAGACTCTGGCAGGTGGGGTTGATACTAGCCCAGATTTGGGAACTGCTAACGCAATCTCAGGTGAACAGGTAAGGAAACGAGAAGGTAAACACCTGGGAGGTGGAAATGTAGGTGGATCTGGGCTTGTTTGGAAGTGAATTAGGACATCTCAAAGAGAGCAGCTCCTCCCTAAGATGGACTACTATTTGTTCTATAAAAAGGCCACTATCCCCAACTAGCAGCACCCTGTCAGCTGCTTCAATCTCCATCCTACTTGTTCCTCTGCTGAACCATTTAAGTGAACAGGAGTACTTAGGGTTATAAATTATGAGAATCCAAGATGTGCTCTAAGGCAAAGAGGCTCTGGGCACCAGGCTCCTTTGTAACATACATACTTTGGGGAACTTTGGTATAAGTTTAGCTTTACTGAGAAGGAAAATGAAGAGATAGTCGGGAGTGGTAGTAACTCCTTTCTTTGGAGTCATTTCCTTAAAGATCACAAGGCTCAAATTATCCATCAGGCAGGTTGCCTCCTTTACCCTGAGCCTTTTCTCTTTGATGTGTAATCAGTAAAGCCTGAGGGTCAGTCCCTGCTTAAAGAATGAAAGAGGGCTTCCCTGGTGGCGCAGTGGTTGAGAGTCCACCTGCCGATGCAGGGGAAGCGGGTTCGTGTCCCAGTCCAGGAAGATCCCACATGCCGCGGAGCGGCTGGGCCCGTGAGCCGTGGCCACTGAGCCTGTGCGTCCGGGGCCTGTGCTCTGCAACGGGAGAGGCCACAGCAGTGAGAGGTCCGCATACCGCAGGAAAAAAAAAAAAAAGAATGAAAACAGAAGCTGAGCCTCATAGCAGCTGTCCCTGGCTCCATATCACATAGGCCTATGGCTGACTTTGCCCACTTTGTCTACTTTCTCTGGCCCACAGTCTTGAGCATCCAGGTGAGCCCTGGTGCCCCCCAGCTGGAGTCAGGCATGCATGTGAACAGACCTGTCCCTCCCTAGTTTGAGGGTTGGGACCTAGAGCGAAACTGAGGAAGTGGATGGATCGGCGCACTCAGGATTCCTACAGCTCCCAAACAAAGCTATGAAAATTATCCCTGGTAGAGGCAGGGAGCCCAGAACAGAAAGTCATTGTTGCTCCATTCATTCAGGAATGGAAAGAAGAGATATATCAATAGATTCTGTTCCAAATAACATCACTTTCTTGCTACATGGCTTGAACAACTCATTCAACTCTGGATTGGTTCTTGATTACAACAGAATGAAATTAATCATGGCTAATTAATGCTGAACAATTATTACAAATGACTCAAACTATTTATCTATTTAAGCAAGAAAAAAGAATAATAATAGGTGGGTCTCTGTCCTTTTTTCCCCTCTAGGTTAACTGAATTTACCGAAAGATGCCTAAACTCCTACAAAGCACTGTCACTATTATCAATCTTTTCTACCAATATGCCACCCAGGATGGGGAGTGTGACATGTTGAACAAGGCAGAACTGAAAGAACTTTTGGAAAATGAGTTTGATCAAATTCTGAAGGTAAGAACTCCATGTCTAGACCGAAGACAGCTGCAATTCTTTTCGTCACCTCTTTCTACCTTTTTGTCACATACGTCAAATTCCTGGAGAACTTTCCCTACTTGGTTGTAGAGAACAGTGTTTAAAAAAAGGCTTGAAATAAAGTCAAAAGTTGACCCATGGGCTTCCCTGGTGGTGCAGTGGTTGAGAGTCCACCTGCCGATGCAGGGGACGCGGGTTCGTGCCCCGGTCCGGGAAGATCCCACATGCCGCGGAGCGGCTGGGCCCGTGAGCCATGGCCGCTGATCCTGCGCGTCCGGAGCCTGTGCTCCGCAATGGGAGAGGCCACAACAGTGAGAGGCCCGCGTACCACAAAAAAAAAAAAAAAAAGTTGACCCATAATGTTTCCATAACATGACCAAGGGAAGTGATCCTACTAAACAACAGGGGAAAATCCACAGATTAAATAATGTCCTATGTGAGTAATTCTTCTGGAAAGAAAATGAGCTGCTTCTCAGAAAAACTGCAAAATAGATGAAATGCATCTTCTTCCCTTTGTCTTTCTTCGACCCAGAACATCCTGACCACTGTCCATTACTGAGATTCTGGCACTATAAGACCTCTGAGTTCAGGAAATTAGCATCTTACTCCTAAATCATAAAACAGAGTGACTACCACCCTAAAATGTTAGCTCAGGAAATAAATATTCATAAGCTTAGATCTAGCGCTTGATCTTCAGTTCATTAAATCAAGCTGTGTACTGAATAGTTTTATTTGGGTTTCTATGGCTGCCTTAACTTCAGCGTCGGATGCGAAACTCATCATCTTCCCCTTTAAATAAGCCTCCTCCTCTTCCGACCAAGGCATAATCTGGTGCCATTCTTGATTTCCTCTCTCAGCAGGATCCTCCACCCTGCAACTTCTATCAAATTCACCAACAGTCTCTCAAAACAGCCCATTTCTCTCCATCACTATTGCTAGTCTTTGGGTCAGGCCACCTTCCACTTCCAATCTCAACATTATATGCAAATCTAATCATTCCACAACTCAACTCAAAATCCTTCAACAGTTCCCAGCTCTTAAACTTCAAGTTCCTTAACACAACTCAAAAGGTATGTTCTGGGGCTTCCCTGGTGGCGCAGTGGTGAAGAATCCGCCTGCCGATGCAGGGGACACCGGTTCGAGCACTGGTCCAGGAAGATCCCACATGCCGCGGAACAACTAAGCCTGTGCACCACAACTACTGAGCCTGCGCTCTAGACCCTGTGAGCCAAAACTACTGAACCCGCGTGCTGCAACTACTGAAGCCCGCACACCTAGAGCCCATGCTCTGCAACAAGAGAAGCCAGCGCAATGAGAAGCCCGTGCATCGCAACGAAGAGTAGCCCCCCGCTCGCCACAACTAGAGAAAGGCCACACACAGCAATGAAGACCCAACACAGCCAAAAATAAATAAATAAAATAATTTAAGTTTTTTAAAAATCGTTTAAAAAAAAAAAGGCATGGTCTCATCCCTATTTATCTTTCTAGCCATATCTCTTGACTGTTAGACTCTATATTTAGCAATCCTGAATCTCTCAGTTCCTTGTATGAGCCATGCTTCCTCTCACCTCCGGCTCTCTGTTCATATTGTTCCCTCTGCCTGCAACAATCTTTTGCCCCTCATGCTCTCTCCATACCCCTTTATTTGGCTAATTCCAACCCATCATTCAAAACACACCACTTCCTCTCATTAACCATCCTTGAACCCCCAGTGGTTGTCCTCTGGTATAATGTTTCACATGAAATTATCACCATACATGGAACTTTTAAGTTTGTGTGTCTTGCCCAGTAAACGTTAAGTTCCATTTTGTCAGGAACCAAACTTGTTCACTGCTTTATCCCTGAACCTCACTCAATGCTAGGCAGATAGTAGGTGCACAATAAATGTTTGTTGTTGAGTTAATTAATTAAGTAGTTAATTAATTAAAAGCTGGACAAATAAAGAAAAGCCATATAGAATTAAAGCAGTTATCCAAAATTATTGTTTATAAATTAGCTAGTCATATATATTTGACCCATTCCTTAAAAAATAATCAATTCCCTGTTCCCTGTCATCTTCCAGTTGCACCCTCTTCTAGCTATTCATTGCATATTCCTTTTTCTCTTTCTGCATGAGATAGGGCAGTCCAGCCTAAAGGACTATGAGGCTGAGCTCCACCTAAGTAAGCTAAACATTCATATTTCTACAGCCTTCCTTCAACTGGTTAGCTCAGTGTGTGCTGCATACTCACAGAGCTTCCTTTTGTACCTTGTTCCTATACAGAATCCAGATGACCCAGACACTGTAGATACCATCATGCAAAATCTGGATTGAGACCATAACAAGAAGATCGAATTTACTGAGTACCCTCTGATGATGTTCAAGCTGGCTCAGGCTTGTAAAAATCGTCGGCAAAGACTACTGCCAAGCTTCAGGGTCAAAGCAAAAAGATCACAGTCACCAGCACCAAGAGGAACAGAGTGAAACAGAAAAGGAGGATGAAGGGCAAGAACTGTCTTCTAGTCATTCAAGTTGGAGTGAAGGAAAACATGATTCTTACTCCAGAGGCTCCAGGGGCAGCATTAAACACAGGTCTGGGTCCAGCTCCAGAAGAACTGGGCATCAAGGAGGCTTATCTAGTTCTGGGCACAGGCAAAGCTCTGGGGAAAGAAAGAGAGAGTCAAGTTCAGGCTACTTCAAGAATAATAAGCATGGTTCTCATCAGCACAAAAGGTCTAGGAGTGAATAAGCTGGTTATACTCATTCAAGGAACTGTAGCACAAGATCAAACTCAGCAAATCAGTCAGGTACTTATGGAGAACAAGGGCATGTGTGCCACACAGAGGATCAGTCTTCCAGTTCTGGCCAACACTGGTCTGACTCAAATGAATCTTTAGGGAAGAGACAACATCAGAAAAAATCATGCCAGTCACTTAGTAAGCAGCATCGTGGAGTCATCTCAAGGAGTTGTGGAGGACAAGACCACTGGTCAAATTCAAATGAGCCCACTGGTTGTGGTCATGGCTGTGGCTCAGGCCAGCCCTCTCAACAGAGATGGCATGAATCAAATGAAGGATATCAATCAGGAACCTGTGAAGAACAAGGATACTGTTCTACTCCTAGTTCGAGTGAGGTATCCAGTTATGGCCAACACAGGTCAGACTCAGGATGGTCTTCTAGCTCTATCCAACGTGGGTCTGGATCAGGTCAATCCTCTGGCTACAGACAACACAGATCTGGCTCAGGTCAGTCTTCTGGCTTTAGGCAGCATGGATCTGGCATAGGTCAATCCTCTAGCTATGAACAGCATAGTTCTACTTCAAGACAGTCACCAAGCTGTAGCCAACATGGATCTGGCTCAGGTCAGTCATCCAGCTGTGGCCAACACAGTTCCAGATCAAGCCAATCTCTTAATCATGGTCAACACAGGACTGGATCAAGTCAGACTTCTAGCTATGGCCAACAAAGGACTAGATCAGGCCAGTCTTCTGGCTTTAGACAACATAGGTCTGGCTCAGGAGAGTCTTCTGGCTTCAATCAGCACAGATCTAGCTTAGGTCAATCCTCCAGCTATGAACAACATGGTTCTACTTCAGGACAGTCACCAAGCTGTGGCCAACACAGATCTAACTTAGGTCAGTCTTCCAGCTATGGTCAATGTGGCTCAAGTCAACATGGCTCAAATCAGTCTTCTAGTCACAGCCGACACAGTTCTGGCTCAAGTCAGTCTTCTGGCCACAGCCGACATATATCTGGCTCAGGTCAGTCTTCTACATTTGGTCAGCATTGTTGTAGCTCAAGAGAGTCATCTGGCTTTGGTCAGCATAGATCTGGCTTAGGTCAGTCCTCTAGCTATGAACAACATGGTTCTACTTCAGGACAGTCACCAAGCCGTGGCCAACACGGATCTAACTTAGGTCAGTCTTCCAGCTATGGTTAATGTGGCTCAAGTCAATGTGGCTCAAGTCAGTCTTCTGGCCACAGCCAACATGGATCTGGCTCAGGGCAGTCTTCTAGCTTTGGTCAGCATGGTTCTAGCTTAAGAGAGTCATTTGGCTTTGGTCAGCATGGATCTGGCTTAGGTCAGTCATCAAGCTATGGACAATACCAATCTGAATATGGTCAATCTTCTAGGCATGGAAAATATGGTTCTGCTTCAGGTCAGTCCTCCAGCTTTGGACAAAAATGGTCTGGATCAGGTCAATCTAGCTATGGCCAACACAGGTCTGGCTCAGGTCAGTCTTCTAGTTGTGGCCAGCATGGATCTAGTTCAAGACAGTCTTCAAGCTATGGCCAATATGAGTCTAGCTCAGGTGTGTCCTCTAGCTATGGCCAACCTAGGTCTGGAGCAAGCCAATCTTCTAGCTACAGCCAACATAAGTTTGGCTCTAGTCAGTCCTCTAGGTATGACTGTTATGGGCCCAGATCAGGTCAGTCTAGCTTTGGGCAACATGGGTCTAGCTCAGGAGAATCGTCTGCCTTTGAGCACGGATCTAGCTTAGATCAATCATTAAGCTCTGGATAGCGTGAATCTAGATATGGTCAATCCTCTGACTATAGACAACATGGTTCTGCTTCAAGACAATCTTGAAGCTGTGGTCAACATACATCTGGATCATGCCAGTCTTCTAGCTATGGCCATTGTGGGTCTGGATTAGGTCAATCTTCTAGCTATAATCCACAGAGGTCTGGATCAGGACAGTCTTCTGGCCATGTCCAATGTGACTCTGGCTCAAGTCAGTCCTCTAGCCACGGCCAGTTTGGATCTGGATGGAGTCAGTCTTCTAGCCATGGTCAACACAAATCTTCCATGGGTCAGTGTTCTACCCAGAGTCAACATGGATCTGGCTTTGATTAGTGTCCCAGTTCTGAACAATATGGGCCTGGCTTATGTCACTCATCTAGCCCTGGACAATATGGTTCTTGATCTGGTCAGTGTTCTAGCTCTGGACAATATGGGTCTGGCTCGTGCCACTCATCTTGCTCTGAACAAGGTGGTTCTGGATTTGGTCAGTGTTCTAACTCAAGTTCAAGTGGAACTCATGAAGGGTAGAGCAGACCCCAAATAGGCTCAACCCCCAATCAGTCAAGAAGAAACAGCCAGGAATGGTCAGGGTACAGCCAGAAAGAAAGAAGTAGGAGTTGTAGCCCATTAAGTAGCAAGTCGAATGGATATGAGAGTATTCATGGACAACCAAGAACATGTAGGCAACAAAGCCAAGGACGGAGCCTGGGTCAAAGGGAATCTGGCTGTAGCCATTCAAATTGTAATGAAGGGCAAACAGGAAGCAATTATAGACAAGATGAAAGCTCCTCAAGTTGTGGCTTTAGACAGTTTACACCCTCCTATGGACAGCCTAGATCCAACACTACCAATACATTGTTAATTTGCAAGGAGGATAATAGACAAGGTGGCTATTATTACCAGAGAGAAGGAGGTAACTATGAAGGGGGAGATACAAACTCAAATTCCCACAATTTCCATAGCAGCACTCCACTCTCTGAATATGTCCAAGAGCAGTGGTACTAATTCAAGGAATGAATAATAAATAGAAGTGAAATTAACTCAAGTAGTAGTTTAAGAAATATGAAACTTATATACAAGCAATTCATTATGAAACTTCTTTCTAACACTGGATGTATCTATTTCTGTCTTTGCCTTTTAAACATGTAACTGTACTCAATTGCTTGTTATTGGGTTCCTTCCAAAGGATGTACAGTATGGGGGCTACTTAGTTAGGAAATACTGAGTTGAATAAATAATGTGTGGGAATAAATTTGGAAGAATAAGGCAAAGCATTTGAGGAGCCTGGGGTTCAGTTGAGGTGTCTTTTTGAGAGCTCCTTACTCACCATATGATGCCAAAACTAATGTTTCATCTCTAAAGAGCAAAAAATTATAAATGTGTTACCAGTTCTGGAGCCAAAGCTTCTATTATAGTAACATGGACCATAATTTTTTGTGTGCCCCACAATGGATGACAGCAGAAAAAAGAAGACCCTAAAAGCAAAGACACAGCATTGATAGTGTCTTTGCTTATCAAAACCACCAAGCCCCTATTCTTAGCTGCATCTTTAATGAGTAAACTAACAAGAGGCATTAAAAAGTGGCACCAGGTGCTTCTCCCTAACCTGTGAGTGAGAGCATTTTTTTCTTAAAGGGCAGGGATGAATCAGGTCAGGATTAAAAGATCCAAATGTGGGCTCTGGGACTTCCCTGGTGGCGGAGTGGTTAAGAATCTGCCTACCAATGCAGGGGACAGGGGTTCGATCCCTGGTCTGGGAAGATCCCACATGCCGCGGAGCAACTAAGTCCATGAGCCACAACTACTGAGCCTGCGCTCTGGAGGTCACGAGCCACAATAACTGACCCCGCATGCCACAACTACTGAAGTCTTCGCACCTAGAGAAGCCACCACAATGAGAAGCACACGCACCGCAACGAAGAGTAGCCCCCGCTCGCCACAACTAGAGAAAGTCGGTGCACAGCAACAAAGACCCAACACAGCCAAAAAAAAAACAAATGTGGGCTCTGACCTGGTTTCAGCAAGAAAGATCTTGACCCCTACTACTAAGAATTTTCTCCAGGTTAAAAAAAATTTATAAGAGCAATAGCGTGAAAATACAATGGCTCTAAACTACTTCTGTAGTTCACTGGCCTGCCTCATAGGACAATACCATTTATACAGCGATTGAACAAAACACTGTCAGCCACTGCTTCATAGTTTCTTAGTTTGACTGTCACATATTTGTTTCAAGTCTTTGGCTTCAAATAACTGGACTGCATTAAAACTGACAATAAATAATGGTGATCAAATACTGAGGTTTGTCTCTGCTTCAATTCACTCTCACACACAGGTGGTCAGACTAAAAACTAACTTAAATAGTTATTTTCCAAGGCCCTGTCCTTCACAGATAACCCAGAATATGTAAATAATTTTTTAAATTCAAAAACAAGACAACTCAATCTTAAAATGAGCAAAAGATCTGATTGGACACTTACCAAGCAAGATGTACAAATGGCCAATAAGCACCTGAAAAGACGCTCAATGTCCTTAGTCATCAGAGAAACGCTAATTGAAAAATAATGAGGGGCTTCCCTGGTGGCGCAGTGGTTGGGGGTCCGCCTGCCGAAGCAGGGGACGCGGGTTCGTGCCCTGGTCCGGGAGGATCCCACATGCCGCGGAGCGGCTGGGCCCGTGGGCCATGGCCGCTGAGTCTGCGCGTCCGGAGCCTGTGCTCCGCAACCGGAGAGGCCACAACAGTGAGAGGCCCGCGTACCGCAAAAACAACAACAACAACAAAAAAACATAATGCGATACTACTACACACACATTAGAATGGCCAAAATTAAAAATACGGGCAATACCAAGTGTTGGTATTACTGGTGGATAGTAAAATGATAATGCTTTTTGATGACCTAGACCCAGAGGGGTGGGATAGGGAGGGTGGAAGGAGGCTCAAGAGGGAGGCCATATGGGGATA